GTCACTTCATTGCCACCTCATATATAGGCTGTCACCCCATCGCCATTCGCGCTGAGTGTTACAAACCTGCTTTTGGTACTTCCCCGGCCAACTGCGCAGCCTCTAACGTGTGTAAGGTGCAGGGAGCAACGGGGTGAAGAAACTTCCTTGTTCTCAAGGAAGTTCACCACCTGCCTCTAGATGCCCAATAAATGGGGCAGTTAGAATCAAGCCTGAATCAATCAGAAGCCCAAAGTAACCCTGCCTTCAACAAGCCTGGACACGCCGTCCCTTTTGTGTACACTTTAAAAAGGCCTAGAGGTGGGTGGTCCAGGGGTGGAATAAGTAGCCCCGTGGGGCTCTAGTCTAGTTTGTTGCCCCACCATCCTTAGCACGCAGCCTTATGCTCCTGAATGGCTGCCAGAGCCCCGGCAACCACGTCTACACTCCCTCCATCTGGCAGGATATTCCTGTAAGGACAGACACGATGCTTCCCTTACATCCCAGGGGCTAGAACTTAAGTGACATGGCCACATCCAGGGGCAGGGGATGCTGGGAAATGCCTTTCTACTAGGCAGTAGCTACTGGGGTGGACAAGTGTCTACCACAAACAGAGAAAACTGAGTCCCAGCAAGGGTCTCTCCTCTGGCACGCTGTTGGGGTAGGAAACATGATCAAATGACTATTGTCAGCCCTGTGAGAGCTCTGTTGGCATAGTGGTTATGCACTGGGCTGCCAACTAAAAGGTCAGCAGTTCGAAACCACCAGCCACTCCTGGGGAGAAAGAAGAGGCTTTCTGCTCCTGTAAAGAGTCACAGTCTCAGAAACCCACGGGGGGAGTTCTACCCTGTCCGATAGGGTCTCCGTGAGTTAGAATCAACCAGGTGGCAGAGAGATGAAATGGACTGTCCAGGCCCTAGGGATGCTCATGAGAGAGGGAGGGGGGAGAGAGGAGGGAGGGGGCAAGGGCTGAAAATAGGCTAGCTGTCTTCAGGGAGGACATGCCAGCCATGGCTCGAGCTTGGGAGTCTCTGGAGGTCTACAAGTCCTGCCTGCAGTCTCAGCACCACACGTCCCACGCAGGTCAGTGGTTCAAAACCACCAGCCGTCCCGTGGGAGAAAGACAAGGCTCTTCTGGTCCCGTCAATAGTTACGGTTCTCCTCTGTCTGCAGGGTCTCTCTGAGTCAGAACTGACTCGGTGGCAGTGAGGCAACCCTTTCTCCAGCAAACACAATACGTTCTCAAAAAGTTGATACTTTCTCGAGATCTTTCATGCATTTGCTTTGGGGCCAAGGCTGAGCGGAGTGTACGGTGCTATGTAATAAGGCCGGGCTTTATTAAACGCGCCCCATTGGGGGAAGCCAGCCTCAAAGGCTTTCTGGTGCCCTGTCCACTGGCCCTCTGCCCTTCCCCCTCACTGACCATCCCTCTGCCCTTCCCCCTCACTGACCACCCTTTAGTCCCATTCTCTCCACTGTTCTTTCTTTCTCCCCGCCCTCCCAGCGTCGCCAAGGCCCTGGGCGTGAGCACGGTAGCTAAGCAGACCCTGAAGCTGTTCCGGGAGCACCCCATCTTCTCCGAAGTCATCTCAGACCAGGAGGCAGTGGTCGCCATTGAGAAGTTTGTGGGTACGGGCCTGCCCCCTCGGGTTCCTCCCGGCTGCCTCGAATCTGTAGGCTGCCTGTCTCTGGGGCCAAGCGACTCCATTCAGTGCACAGTTCCCTCCCACGACTGGCCCCCTCCACCTGGAGTCCCCCCCATCAGGAAAGCCAATACAACGGGGGCAGAGCCAGGACGGAGGCACACAGATGTCCGATGACCGTGGGGTTGATTTCCTATGGTTTAACGGCCGTGGCCGTATCCCGCTGGCCAGGCTGTCAGTGTCGGCCGAGCTTCCTGGCAAGCAGGGTGATGATGGAAACATGGGGCTCGAGAGTGGCGGGCATGCAACCAGGCTACCGCGGAAGGTGATGGGGTCAGCCTCAAATCCTACCGAGCCACGAGCCACAGAGCCGGGTCTGACTCGTAGCGACCCTGTAGGATGGGGGTGGGGAGGGGATCTGTCCCTGGGGGTGTCCAAGGCTATCACTGGTTATGGGAGTAGAGCACCTCATCTCTGTCCCCCAGAGTGGTTTGGACCTTGCAGCCCCGTGAGTAACCAGTGCATCAGTGGACCTCCTGGGATCGACCTTAGACAGTGGGAGTGGGGCAGGCTGGGGGTCGTGTTCATGGTGTCACTTAGCCCTCTTGGGCCTGAAACCAATTGGCTAATCCATCCTGAATTCCAAGGTTGCTGCCCCCACGCTCTCCCCATGGAGCCCCGAGACACACACACAACCTCCTCCTCCTCTGGCAGATGACGAGAAGATCCTGGTGGAGCCTGCCTGTGGGGCAGCCCTGGCCGCAGTCTACAGCGGCGTGGTCCAGAAGCTGCAGGCGGAGGGGAAGCTCCGAGCCCCACTGCCCTCCCTGGTCATCATTGTCTGCGGGGGCAGCAACATCAGCCTGGCCCAACTGCAGGCCCTCAAGGAGCAGGTGGGCTTGAAGAATGGGCTGGCCATGTAAGGAGCCCTCCCAGCCTGGTTGGCCGGGTCCCCTGGAGGAGCCGGTGTTTTATCCAGCCCCTCACTGTAAATAGTAGCCGTGTTTGATGACGAGGTGGTGGCTCGGAGGGGCGGGCGCTGCCTTGTGGCTATCAGGGCCCATTACACGGGGGATCTGGGTTCCCTGAGAGAGGGTCCGTTGAGCAGTGAAGCCAGTCTCTTCTTTGGC